TAGGAGAATGATTATTGACATCTGGGGAAAAAAATATTGATTTTTGTAAGAACTTATGTCAAGTGGACTTGTATATCTCCACATTGCAGAATTTTTACAGCATGTAAGGAAGCCATTTGGCTCCTCATGTCTGTGCTGGCCATCCAAATACTTATGCCATTCTCCTGCTCTGTTCCCATACCTTGCACATGGTTCCTTTTCACATAATTCTCTAATTCCCTTTGAAATATCTCAGCTCAGATTGCCTCCATTACACTCTGACAGTGCATTCCAGACCCTAATCATTTGTTGCATGAAAAAGATCTTTTTCTCATATCACTAATTTGATTCTTCTAATTACTTTACATCTGTGCCCAATCAGTCTTGAAGTTTGTCAGAAGGATCTGAAAAGGTGCGCTTTTGACAGGTGTAAGGCAGAACCAAGAAGTATGCCAAAGTTTTTGAGGGGAGGTGAAAAAACAGATAAGAGAAGCAAAGAGGAATTATGAGAAAAGATTACCAACTAACATATAGGGGAATTCCAAAGTCTAGTTTGGGCATATCAATAGTAAGATTATTAGAGGAGGAGTAGGGCTGATTAGAGACCAAAATAGGGATTTACACATGGAAGCAGAGGTACTTAAGCGCTGCAGTGTTAAATGAATACTTTGCATCTGTCTTTACAAAAGAGAGGGATACTGCCCAGGCTATAGTGGCAGCGAAAGAAATGTCATTAGAAGAGTTCAAAATTAATATGAAAGAAGTCTTGGATAGACTGTTGGCACTTAAAGTTAACAAGGCACTGGGACTTGATGAGATGCATTCAAGGATCTTGAAGGAAATGAGGATAGAAATTGTGTGAGCACTGGCCATAATTTATCAGTCTTCCCTGGACTTGGAGGAAGTGCCAGAAGTCTGGAGAATTGCAAACATTGTGGCCTTGTTTAAGAAAGGTTGTAAAGATAATCTCAGCAACTATAGAGCAGCCAGTTTAAATTTGGTGCACAAGCTTCCAGAAACAGTTATTCTGGACAAAATTATTAGTCAGATGGAGAAAGATGGATTGGTTAGGAAGAGTCGGCATGGATTTCTGAAGGGGAAATCATGTTTAACTAACTTGTTGGAGATTTTTGAAGAAATTACAGGCTCGATAAGGATAACACTGATGTGGTATATGTGGATTTCCAAAAGGCATTTGATATAGTGCCACACAACAGACTTGAGGAATTTTTTATAGGTCATGTTATGAAAGGGACAGTAGCAGCATGAATACAACTTTCAATAGGAAATGAGTAATGGCATGGATATTTTTTGGGTTGGAGGAATGTTTGTAGTGGAATTCCCCAGTGATCATATTGGGATGCTTGCTTTTCCTGATACGTATTAATGATCTAGATCTTGGTGGCAGGGACAGCTTCAAACTTAGAAGAATTGTAAACTGTGAGGAGGACAGTGTGGAATTCCGGGAGGACAATGACAATTTGCCAGAGAGGACAGATAGGTTCAATGCAGAGAAGTAAGGTGATGCACTTGGGTAGAAAGAACATTGAAGGACATTAAAAAATAGGGAGACAATTTTAAACGGGATGCAAAAGCAGAGGGACCTGGATATATATGTGCACAGATTACTGAAGGTGGAAGGACAAGAGGAGAAAGCAATTAAAAAAACGCATGCAGCATCCTTGACTTTATTAAAAGTGGCAGGGAGTACAAGAACATGGTGATCTTGAACTTGTATACAGTGCATATTAGACCTCAACTGGAGTATTGTGCCGAGTTATGGATGCCATACTGTTGTGGATCAGATCAGATGCCATCAAAACATTTAGCCTAAACCCTAACTTTTTCTTATTTTGAAGGGAGATGTGAAGTGCTTGTTCCAGATGCGATGTGATTGATCAAACTGCTTGACATTAAGCAAAACCCAATTTATTTGAGCACTTTCGTTTAAAAAAAACAAACAACAGAAGAACTTAGAACAACTTTACTATTGAAAACTTAACCG